AAAAAATTTTCAGCAATAGATTCATTTTGGATTTATTTTATAATCTACTTTCACTTAAAAAGATAGCAGGCACAACTTGGAGGTTGTTGCAGGGACAACTGCTCTCCTTGGTGACAATGAGAACCTGGAGGGAGTGGAGTGAGTCAGGTGTCTGAGTCTGGTTTTATGGGCACTGTCCTGTGAGGTCAGTGGGACTGTGTGCTGGCCATAACATATGCCTAATCCTTGGCATGCTGGGAGAGAGGAAGAACCCCTTCATACTACTGGGCACCAGAGTTACTGCCTGCTTGTGCTTCAGATGGGAGACTGCTACAACCACATCAGGTAGTCACATTTAGTGGTGATTTCTTATATTTTATTGCTGTTTCATTCCTTTTTCATTTAGAATCAGGATAAAGTTGGATTTTTAATATCTTACAAAGAAAAGATATCAGACATCTTTCATGTTAAAAATTATATTGTGGGTACTTTATTAAAAAGCTTCCCCCCTGTTTTTGAGGCATAACCTCTATTCAGTAAAGTGCATCAATCTTAAGTGTGTAGCTTTTTTTTTTTTTTTTTTTGAGACACAGTCTCGCTTTGCTGCCCAGGCTAGAGTGAGTGCCGTGGCGTCAGCTTCGTTCACAGCAACCTCAGACTCCTGGGCTCAGGCGATCCTCCTGCCTCAGCCTCCTGAGTAGCTGGGACTACAGGCATGCGCCACCATGCCCGGATAATTTTCTCCATATATATTAGTTGGCCAATTAATTTCTTTCTATTTATAGTAGAGACGGGGTCTCGCTCTTGCTCAGGCTGATTTCGAACTCCTGACCTTGAGTGATCCGCCCACCTTGGCCTCCCAAAGTGCTAGGATTACAGGCATGAGCCACTGCGCTCGGCCTTAAGTGTATAGCTTGATAAGTATTTACCCATGTAAGCACTATTCAGAACAAGATGTAGAAGGTTCCTTCTATTCCTGTGGATTCCCTCCACCCCTTTTCAGTATAATCTTCCAGAAGTAATTGCCGTTGTGATTTCTGTTGACATTGATTTGTTTTGCCTGTTTTTGGACTTTGTATAAATAGAATTATACAAAATGTACTCTTTAGGATCTGAGTTTTTCTATTCAACAAAATGTTTGTGAGATTCATTCATATCTATGTTGTTGTGTGTATCAGTAGTTTATTTATTTATTTATTTAGAGACAGAGTCTTACTCTGTTGCCTGGGCTAGAGTGCCATAGCCTCAGCCTAGCTCACAACAACCTCAAACTCCTGGGCTCAAGGGATCCTCCTGCCTCAGTTTCCCAATAAACTGGGACTACAGGTGTGTGCCACCATGCCTGGCTAATTTTTTCTATTTTTAGTAGAGATGGGGTCTTGCTCTTGCTCAGGCTGGTATTGAACTCCTGACCTCAAGCAATCCTCCCTCCTCGGCCTCCCAGAGTGTTAGAGTAGTTTATTCCTTTAAATGCTCACTGCTATTCCATTGTTTGGACATACCACAATGACTTTATCCATTCACCTGTTGATGGACATTTGAGTTGTTTTCATTTTTGGCCATTATGAATAAAGCTACTATGAATATTCTTGAACAGGTCTTTTTGTGAACAAACTGAATTATTTCTTATAGAATTTTTGGATTATAAAGTAGGTGCTTTATACATTTCACTTACTACTTACATGGTATTTTTTTTTTTTTTTTTTTGAGACAGAGTCTAGCTTTGTTGCCCAGGCTAGAGTGAGTGCCGTGGCATCAGCCTAGCTCACAGCAACCTCAAACTCCTGGGCTCAAGCAATCCTACTGCCTCAGCCTCCCGAGTAGCTGGGACTACAGGCATGCACCACCATGCCCGGCTAATTTTCTATGTATATTAATTGGCCAATTAATTTGTTTCTATTTATAGTAGAGACAGGGTCTCGCTCTTGTTCAGGCTGGTTTCGAACTCCTGACCTCGAGTAATCTGCCTGCCTCGGCCTCCCAAAGTGCTAGGATTACAGGCGTGAGCCACCGCGCCTGGCCACTTATGTGGTATTTTTAAAAGTCGAATTATCCATATAACAGTCTCAGATCCTCACAACTGGTGCAAGTGGTCAGATTTAAGAGGAAGAAAAATCTAACAGATTAAAGAATATGATTACAGGTGCTTGAATTTCTATAATGAGTTTATTTAGCTTATCTTAATGACCTGGATCCTTGGGAAAGCAGAGATTTGAATCTGCTGACAGCAGAGCATCAAGACTCTTGGCTCTGCTCTTCCCTGCAGCCTCCACTGATCCAGTCCTGGGACACCGTCACACCTGCAAGTGGCACCTGTGTGGTTCCCACCACCTCCCCTAAATGCTGGGGACCAGTGACTGAGCTTAATGGTCAGGGTCAGCAGGGCCCAGGGGCCTACGGGTTAGTGCCAGAAGGTGGAAGAGATTCTCCTGAGTCCTGATTTGGAAGCTGAGTTATGACTCAGGAAATTTATTGCCCCATAGTCTTTTAACAAGAAGCGATCTATCTTCCTGGGCAGAACTTCCATTACTGGTGACAGGTGCCTGGGGCCAGCTTATTAAAAATCATCATTTCAAAGCCCAAAGTGAAGGTGCCACAGTGTGTTGGAACAGAATGCTAATTTCCAGCTCCACATCATAATCTAGGACGTGGGGAGAGCATTATGAGACACTTTCATATGCAAGAGGAAGGAACCCCAGTGCTGTTTCTGCAGCTACACCCTGAGACCAGGGAGCATTAGCATCTGCCTTTCTTTCCTGGCTACACTACCCCACTCCAGCATGTTAACGCAGCCCACCAGCTCTCACCTGCTGCCTTGAATGGCCCTGCCCTGGCCCTGCCCTGGCCCAAGACAGAACTTGCTTCATGGTTCAGCAACTCTGGCAGACTGGAATGTGCACTGGACTTCAACACAGTGGGATGGATTCAAGTCCCAGCTGTGGCCTAGGGAGAAAGCCTTCTTATGTTTGTGTGGTGCTTTTTAATTTTTTAAGCACTGTCTTACATTCACATCTTTTATCTCATGGAGTACGCTGAGGTACAGGGCTGGAGAAAGAATCTCTCTGCCTTTTTTTTTTTTTTTTTTTGTCTCACTCTGTTGCCTGGGCTAGAGTGCCGAGGTGTCAGCCTAGCTCACAGCAACCTCCAACTCCTGGGCTTAAACACTCCTTCTGCTTCAACCTCCCGAATAGCTGGGACTACAGGCATGTGCCACCATACCAAGCTAATTTGTTCTATATATTTGTAGTTGTCTGGCTAATTTCTTTCTATTTATAGTAGAGACAGGGTCTCGCTCTTGCTCAGGTTGGTCTCGAACTCCTGACCTCAAGCAATCCTCCCACTTGGCCTCCCAGAGGGCTAGGATTGCAGGCATGAGCCACCTGCCCCCTTTTCTGTTTTTATGGAGAAGGTAAATTGATACCCTGGAGGCACTTCCACATTGTTTTTGGAGGTGAGAGGAATCTCCCCTTGTTGGCTTTTGTCTCGGGCTCTTTCCTGTCCAGCTTTGAGAGTAGCTCTGAGAAGTTTGGTTGGGAGGAGGAGGAGGCATGAGGGAGAGAGTTCATGGCGATCTCTCAGGGATGAACCAGTTTTTCTGCCCCCAAAGAGCTTCTCTAACCCCATCCAGTCCCCCAGTGGACCTTCCTGGCTGAATTATCCAGATTATCAATGAACTTTCTATGTCACGCAGGCCTGGGAGGAAACAATCTAAATAGTCAGGTCAAGAATTAGCCACGATTGAACCAAGTACATTTTGTAGCCTATTGGTACATATCTCATCTAAAATGCTTGGAGTGGGAGCATGGGAATAGGGGAAGACAGTTGCTTAGACATGATAGTGGCAGGGATCTCTCCAAGAGGTGAGGTCGAAGGGTCATTTACAGCTGTATCCTAGCAAAATATCTGTAATTTTCTGAGTTTCGGTTTTTATCTTAATGAACAACATGCGTTCGACAGAGTTGCCATGGAACATCAGATATTTCACAATGTATGTGGATGATTTCATGTACTTTGACAGTTTATATCAGTTATATAAAACTTCCCTAGAAAGTTTTGTCCCTCTGGAAGTTTGGGGGCACATGCTACATGTCTTCCTGTCCCTTCTTACCCTGGCACTCTACATCAAGACTCGAGACTATTTCCTTCAGTCTTTTCTTCCCTTTATAAAATATTTGGATAAGTAACACAAGGTTCCAGCTGTTTTAACATTCCAGTGGTCTGCAGGAAAAAGGTGCCTGTGTGCCCAATTGAATTTTCATCTGGATGTGTGGTGCCACGTGGTCTGAGGCTTGGGGGAGCTGAAAATTGGGTTGTCAGGGGCCCTTGTGGGGTGTGTGTATAGGTGACAATTAAAACCAGTGTTGCTTCCTTCCTAGCTTGGCCCAAGGTGGGGCTCACTTAGCCTTATAGGAAGAACTACTTCCTGGGCTTTGGACCTAAGAATCAGCTGTCTCTCCTCCTAATGCCTCTTCTCTGGACAGTAAGCCATAGCTCTAAAACAAGGGATTCCAGCAGGGCATGGTGGCTCACACCTGTAATCCTAGCACTCTGGGAGGCCGAGGCAGGCGGATCATTTGAGCTCAGGAGCTCGAGACCAGCCTGAGCAAGAGCGAGACCCCGTCTCTACCAAAAATAGAAAAAATTAGCCGGGCATGGTGGTGCATGTCTGTAGTCCCAGCTACCTGGGAGGCTGAGGCAGGAGGATCGCTTGAGCCCAGGAGTTTGAGGTTCCTGTGACCTAGGCTGATGCCACCGCACTCTAGCCTGGGCAACAGAGTGAGACTCTGTCTCAAAAAAAAAATAGTTGTATATTTTTATAATTTAAAAATAAAAAAATAAAAAACAAAATGAAACAAAGGATTCCTAATTCACGTGTAAGGTAACAAGGGATTCCCCAGAGGAGCAGCTGCTTCGACCCAGGTGTAAGTAACCAGAGACTGATTGTTGTTTCCTTTTAGAGTTGATTTGGATGATAGATACAAGCCCTCTCCCAATAAAAACATTTTATTTGTCCCTGAGAAGATTTCCTTGGAAACATCTCAACATGCCCCACATACTATTTTTACTCTGAATGTTTCCACGGCCCGGAATCATTTTTGGCACAGCTGTTGGGCAAAAGCGTGACTCTGGGCTGACATGTCTGCCTCCAACTTGGCAAGGGATTTTCCAGTGGCTGGGCTACGTGTGCCACCTCCATTCATTAAAGATGCTGATGAGGCTTGCCCTGCAGCTTGTACCACACCTCGATCCTCTGGAGAGTATCCTCTACTCTCTAAAAGCAGGAAACTGCAACGCTGCAGGAGAAAGGCAAGTGGGAATGAGGCATTTCCCCCCTAGTCTTGAACCCCCAAAGGAAGAACAGAACCCACGGATGATGCACCATCAATTCCCAATTTCCTGCAAGAGAATGTTCTGCCCTGGGCTTCTCCTGGCTAATGTTATGCCCTACTTGTTGACATCATGACTTTGTCCTCTCAATCTGACTCTTCTGTTGTTCTTAGCCATGCATGGGTGATTCCAACTGCAGAGAGCTTGAAGTCACAGAAAGATGTGACCATTATTGACCATGAGAGTCAAAGAAGAGGACAGCTTCTCACAGGCTCTGCTTTTGCTTTCTCTGCCATCATGTTCTCTGGGTACCACTGAGAGATTGTGGAACTCATCAGACCCTCTTTAGTTAGCCCTCCTAGTGCATAGTTTGGTTACTTGTCTTCAGGGTCACAAGTATGGCACAAGTGCTTAATTCTTTGTAGGTGCCAGACAAATGTTGATTGAATGAATAAATAAAGGTAGAGTGAATAAAACAATGTATTGCAAAGATGCCACCATACACAGTTACTACCAAGCACTGAAACTGCATTCCAAAGTAAAACCATAAATCCTTTTATTTTATTTTGAAGACAGAGTCTTGCTCTGTCACCCTAGGTAAAGTGCAGTGGTGTCATCAGAGCTCACAGCAACCTCAAACTCCTGGGCTCAAGGGATCCTCCTGCTTTAGCCTCCCGAGTAGCTGGGACTACAGGCATGCACCACCATGCCCAGCTAATATTTCTATTTTTAGTAGAGACAGGGTCTCATTTTTGCTCAGGCTAGTCTTGAACTCCTGAGCTCAAGCAATTCTCCCACCTTGGCCTCCCAGAGTGCTGGGATTATAGGCATGAGCCACCACACCCAGCCTATAAATCATTTTTATAATAAGTAAAAGTTTATTTGATATGTGGTTTCTTTTTACTGGCAACTGAGAGATAAGATTTTAATACTATACATCATTTAATGAAATACCTGTCGTGCCACCCCTGCTGCCTTCTCTTCTTGGCCCTGCAAGGCCTTTCTTTATCACAAACTCTTCTCCAAGGCCTTCAACTCTGCATTATGCCCCCTCCCAAGGTCACATACAGTCAAATTCCTATCTACCTTTCTAGTCTTAACAGCTCACACTGTGCAGTCCTTAACTGTAGTGTTTTCATTAATGTATCCTCATTTAATCTTTCTAACAGTTGGAGAGATAATAATGGTTATTGCATTTCACAGATGAAGAACCTACTAGCTAGTAGGAGATAGAACCAGGACTTGAATCCAGGTTGTTGACCCCAATTCTTTAAGCTTCCCACTGCATACACTGGCTCACCAGCTATGTCCTCTCCCAGCCTCCAGGGCTTCTTCCTTTCACTTCTTGTATGTGCCAGAACTTTCTTACCTCTCCATCTTTGACCACTTCCCCAGCTCTGTTTAGAATCTCATCTATTCTACAAAATTCGGCTCAGAGAGCACCTCCACCATGAGTCCTCAGGGTTGGATTTAATCTCCTCCCTCTCCTCTGCTCTTATTGTTCCTTGACTTTACTTATTTTCAAGCGTTCAGCCCTCAATAGCATGGTTATTGTGGATAAGCCTGGCAGACTGTCACAGATTGTCTTCAGATCCTTGAGCAGGGGGGTTGTGATTGTGTCTCGTGCACTGATGTGTGTTCCAGGGTGCCTGGCACAGTGTCTGGCATGTAGTGTTACTCAGTAAATGCCTGTTATTAGTAAAATTATGTTTTTATTATTAAGTGGAAAAAAGTACAGAACAGGGTTGTGGTAGTCTACCTTTTGTGTAAAAATAGGGGGAGGAATAAGAATATATTATCATAGTAATTTTCACTTGAATAAAGACCCTCTGGAAGGACATATAAGAAACTAATCACGGCCAGGCGAGGTGGCTCATGCCTGTAATCCTAGCATTCTGGGAGGCTGTGGGGGGCAGATTGCTCAAGGTCAGGAGTTTGAAACCAGCCTGAGCAAGAGTGAGACCCGTCTCTACTATAAATAGAAAGAAATTAATTGGCCAACTAACATATATAGAAAAAAAAATTAGCCGGGCATGGTGGCACATGCCCGTAGTCCCAGCTACTTGGGAGGCTGAGGCAGAAGGATTGCTTGAGCCCAGGAGTTTGAGGTTGCTGTGAGCTAGGCTGATGCCACGGCACTCACTCTAGCCTAGGGAACAAAGTGAGACTCTGTCTCAAAAAAAAAAAAGAGAAACTAATCACAGTGGTTTCCCACAAGAGGATGGGGCGATGGTGGGAAGGAGATTCTTTTACTTTATACATTCTCACAGTCTTTTAAAACCACACAAATGTATTTCTTTTAAAAATAAAAAAGGGGCCAGGCATGATCATCTTAGCACTTTGGGAGGCTGAGGCAGGAGGATTGCTTGAGGCCAGGAGTTTGAGACCAGCCTGGGCAACATAGCAAGAGATCTCGTCTCTCTCTCTCTCTCTCTCTTTTTTTTTTTACTTTTGTGTGTGAAGGAAGAGATCTCATCTCTTAAAAAAGAAAAATCAGCTGGACATAGTGGTGTGTACCTGTAGTCCCCACTACTCAGGAGGCAGAGGCAGGAGATCATTTGAACCCAGGAGTTTGAGGTTGCTGAGAGCTATGACTGCATCTTTGCACTCTAGCCTGTGCAACAGAGCCAGACCCTGTATCGAAAAGAAAAAAAAAAAAAAAGAATACAAAAAGGCAGCCAAAGTGGTTTAGTCATCAGGGACTATCCCCAACGCTGTCCCTGCACTTGTGAGATGGCAACATCCACAAACTATCATCAGCCCATCAACTCTATGGCAGGTGGCAGAGCTGCTCCTGCAGAAGGTGATAAAACTCCGCTTTTTTTTTTTGACACATAGTCTCACTTTGTTGCCCAGGCTAGAGTGAGTGCCGTGGTGTCAGCCTATCTTACAGCAACCTCAATCTCCTGGGCTCAAGCGATCCCGCTGCCTCAGCCTCCCGAGTAGCTGGGACTACAGGCATGCACCACCATGCCCGGCTAATTTTTTCTATATATATTAGTTGGCCAATTAATTTCTTTCTGTTTATAGTAGAGACAGGGTCTTGCTCTTGCTCAGGCTGGTTTCGAACTCCTGATCTCGAGCATTCCTCCCGCCTCAGCCTCCCAGAGTGCTAGGATTACAGGCATGAGCCACCACACCTGACCTAAAACTCCGCTTGATATAGGGAAGGCCAGGCAGTGCGTGAAAGACGAGGAGAAATAAAAAAAGAAAAGAGGAAGACAGGAAACAAGATGGAGGAGACAAGAGCGGAGAAAGGAGAAAATCAGACTTAAAGACAGAGAAAAGGAGACGGAGGGAATGAGAGCAAGAAGCAGAGAGAGCATGTGCCCGGGGAAGGCTTGGAGGGAAACTCCAAAATCAGGCCACTTCCCAAAAGGATCACACACCGGGTGAGACAAACCCATCTCATTAGTGGCCCATGAAGCTGTGCAATGAGGGGGCCTCACGTTCCTGGAGCAGTGTGTCGCCAAAGATTTGGTCCTAGCTGGCCCCCAGGTGTGCGCAGGCCTCCCCAGTACCACCTGTGCAGCACGAAGCAACAGAGAGAGGAGTGGTCCTCTGGGCTTCCCTGGGTCTTCTCAAGGCCCCATCCCAACTTACCTTCAGGAGCTGCATCCCCAAGGGCAGGTACCCTTGGCAGCCTGAATGTGTACCCTCCAGGGACAGTGTCGCCCAGGAGGAAGACACCTGTCTTGCTCTTGGTAGTGGGCGCAGTTGCCGGGGACAGCCTCCGGCTTCCAGTTCCCTCCTTGACAACTCTGGGGAGGAGTGGCTGGTAGGGTCTTGGCTCCAGAAACTCCCTTCGTGGCTGGGGAGGGGTTTAAAAAGGGAGGGAGGGGGCTTGGTCAGGAGCTAAAGTTGGTGGTGGGAGAACTTTGGCCTTGAGATGAGGAAGAAGATGGATGTCCTATTCCAGACAGGGACAAAGCTCCGCGTTCCCTACTCTGGACTGCTCCCATGCTTGGTAGAACATCTACAAAGGAGAGGAATTCAACAGGATCTTGTTAAAAGGGGGAAATACTTGCATTCTGACTTTCATCCAGGGTGTCCTCCCTAATGAACACCAGCTGTCTGAGGACGTCCTCTTCTGTCGCCCATTACTGGGGTGAGTCAGTCCCTCCCCCCATCCCTACCCCCCTGTGCCTGATTTCTATCCTCCTCTTTTACATATTCTTCTCATTTAAGCCCTGTCCTTGGGCTTTGGTCCTTCTCTGTTCTTGCTCTTGGTGAGGTTGCGACTCCTGAGATCGTTTCCACGCTAGACCAGTAGGGTGCTGACCAGGTACCTACCTGTCTTCTCTGACGTCTCCCTCAACCTCCCAGCACTTAGTTCCTGCAGTCTTGGACGCTCCTTCCATGCTTCCTTGCCTGGCCTTGCTCTCCTGGGAGGTCTGCTGGGGAGGTACGCTGCTCCGAGGAAGGCAGGGTTCTGAATGGTTAAGACAACCTTGCCTCAATGATATGCACAACCCGCCTTTGGAGCCCCAGCTGTCAAGGGCAGCACTGTTTTTGGACGTGAACTGTGTCTGCTGTGGTGCAGCGAGAAGGGCGTTGGGGGAGGATGTGGGAAGCAGAGTGAAGAGGAAGCAGGAATGGAGGAGCAGGGGAGGCCAAGGGAATGGACACCCTGGGGAGGTTTCTGTCTCTGCCTCAGGTCTCTGACCAGTCAGACCCAACATCTGGAGGTAAACTGGAAAAAAGAAATTTAAAAAAATGAGCTCATAATCCAGACATTTGGTTTGCATGCCACTAAACATCTGGACATTGGAAAATATCTGGTTTGGGAACTATGATTTTTAGTTTCCTTTCAAAATGTGGAAACCTATGATCATATTGGATTGCCAGAAGAATTTAAACACATCTTTAACTCTTACACATCTTCAGGAGAACTCTGTGTATATAGTATCATTATCTAGGTAATTCATATTTTTCAAGGCCTCACAAAGGGTGAAGGAAAAATACAGACTCTAAGAGACGCGATAACTGAGTGTGGCTGAGGAAGATGTGACTTCTATTTACATGAGAGGACACAGGGAAATCTCTAGAGAGCATTTTCTCCCCACCCCCACCATGCAGGATATGTTTGGAACATTCCTTCCTTTGTCCATCAGCAAATGAAATCCCAGCCTGGCTGGTGCTTGGATACCACGGCAGCAATGAAGCCCAGGCTCGTCGACTTTTATAAGCTCTGCTTTATTGGCCATTCAATAAGCAGCTAAGGAGCTGGTCCAGGAAATGAGGCAGGATCCCAGCCACTCTGGGCTCAGCACAGCCTTCTTTTTCCAGGAAACTGCTTGTCTTGGCTTTGGAGTGGCTTTCCCAGCTCATCTCTGACCTGAAGCAGAACATAACCATTAACTCTCTTGCCAGAATCTTCAGTTCTGCTGCATCAGCATGATTCTTTCTTCTCCATCTCTGGGAGGAAGCCAGGATGAGAGCGAGATGGTCCTGCCCAGAGGCCCTTGGGAGGTTTGGGCCTAGCAGGAAGATGCTGAGAAGGTCAGACTCTGATAGGCAACATCTTCCCAAATGCCAACTAAATGGCTCTGTAGAGGTGACAGCATGCCTGTGACTACCTGTTCCCTCTCCTGCTTCATCTCTCTCATTAGAATCATCAGAACAACCCGTGACATTATAATTACTTTCCTCATTTTGCAAGTGAAGGGACTGAGGCTCAGAGAAGTCACATGACCTGCCCAAAGTCACGTGGCTATTTAGCACTGGAGCTGGGATCTGAACCCACACTGCCTGACCCACAGCCCTGTGCTCTCCATTCCACCCCAAAGCACGCAATGTCCACTGCACAGACAAGACAGTCCGTGTGAAGCGAGAGTCGACAATGAAAGGTGGGAGGATATTGCAAAAAGGAAAGCGAGTTGAGGTAGTCATGGGAGGCTTCCAGGAAGAGGTCTACTTGGGCCTCAAAGCCAAGGCAGGATTTGGCTAGAGGAGATAGGGGAAGGCATTCCAGCCAGTGAATACCATGAGCAAAAAATGTAGGCAGAAATAGGCATGGCCGATTCACAGCCTCACTAATAATACTAATTGTTAGTATTCTGACTCCAAATAATAACCAGAGATGGGTTATTAACCTCTAGGTTAACAACCTGAAAATCCCACAAAAGTGCCCCATAAAAAAGAATGGGCCTCTGACCACACCCACAGAGCTCCTACAATGGATTAAAACTGTACCCAACACAGAGTCTTTTCTGCCCCTTGTTTCTCCTTGTTCTCTCTCGCTCCGGTGCTGATACAGCAACATGCAACATGGAGAATGGGGGAGGAGTAAAGAGTGAGGAGGAGAAATAGTAAATAAGCTAACTAAGACCCCTTTTTCCCACCATGGGCAGTCCCCAAGGTAGGTCCAAGCTTAGAGAGGGCAAACAATTAAATTGGACAAGAGTTCAGAGTATTGATGTTCATATGAACACACACATGCATGTGCACATATATATTTATAACTGAAAGTCACTGAAAAGGCTACGAATCTGCCTGAGAGTTCATCCAAAAGAAGAATGAGGCCACAGATCAGACTGAAAGGGACAGTCAGGAGAAAGAATAACATTGCTTTCTGCTTGTCCTCCCTTAAGTTTGGCTTAAGACAAGAGGGGAAAGAATTCCACTTCCAGAAAGATGGATAAGCCGTACTTCTCCCTGTTCTCCCTCCTAAATACAGCTAAGCACCCTGGACGTTCTCAATAAAACAACCATAAGAAGACTCAGAAAGGTGCAGAGAAGAAGGCAGACTGGCCATGGACTTCAGGACCTGAGGACATGGTGGTGGGCTCTCTCTGTTTCCCTTCTGTTTCATACATCCAAGACTTGGAGCAGCAACCCACACATGCCAATGGGTTCAGACAAAAAAAACACAAGAAAATCCTGAACAAAAGTCTGCCCTCATTAGCTAAAGGACAACGAAAAGGTAGAGAAAACAGAAATGAAAAGTGGAAAAAAACCCATAAAACAAAAAACAGTAAAATGGCAGGCTTAAGCTCTAACCTATTAGGAATAATTACATTGAATGTCAATGGTCTAAATATACTAATTAAGAGACAGAGATTGGCAGATTGCTATTACAGAAACGTGATACGCTAGGCGGCCGGCGCGTGGCTCACGCTTAACTCCGTAACGCACTCTGGGCGGCGAGGCGGCGGCCATTGCTCAGGTCAGGAGTTCAACAACCAGCTGAGCGACGACCGTCTCTACCGCATAAAAATACCGAAAGACAATTCAACTTCGGCCACTAATACTCCATATAATCCCCACTAACAATCCAGCCGGGCATCGTCGTCGTGCCTGTAGTCCAGCTACTCGGGAGGCCCCGCTGAGCACGGAGGCATTGCTTGAGCGCAGGGTCTGAGGTTGCTGTGAGCCGACGGCTGACGCACCCCGCACTCCCAACTCTAGCCTGGCAACAAAGCGAGAACCTTCCCCTGTCTCAAAAAAAAAAGAAAAAACAAAACCGCTGAGCCTACACTAGCTGCCTGTGTATTCCACGACAGTTCACCTCTATTCCCTCACCAGCAATAAAGGCCACCGGTTGAACCGGAAAACAGATGAAAAAGCACTATGTCACTCTAAATACTAACACGAACAAGAAACGCAGGAGTGGCCTTTCTAAATGGATACTACATTCATCAGACTACCCACACGCTCACGATTGCGCCAGCACAGAAGCCTACCAAGACGACAGAGACAGACCATTGTACACGCTGATAAGAGCCCACTCGCTAACACAGCACACACAACTCCTAAATGGTGTGTGCACAAACACACAGCAACCTGCAAATTCACTGTAAGCAAAACTGAAGAACTGAAACGCGACGCACATCAGACAACCTCCAGTAATTATCCACCCGTTGAAAGACTCTTAATCTACTCTCAACATACGTTGATAAGCAGAAAACTAGAACCTGAAAATCAACAGGATAGTAGACAGCCGTTCAACCAAATCCATAAACCAACCAACGCATGCCTAACCTGAACTATCTTCTGAATACTGGCCCCTCCCACTAACCACCAGCAGACATCAGCTCTCTTATTTTTTTTCAAAGGCACGCCCATGGAACATATACTCAAGGCATAGACCATATCCTCGGGCGCACTAGGCACAAAATCACACAAAATGTACAGACAATTGACACATCATAACTAAACCACTGCATTGCTCTGACGCACAATGGAATCAAAGTAGAACCTCACTAACAAACAACATAACATACCCAAATATCAAATACATCTGGAAATTACAACAATATACCTCCCTTCCTTAACATCCATGGGCCCACCAGAGCGGAAGTCCCTCAAGGGGCAAATTAAAAGTTACACGAGGCGGCTGCGCGGTGGCTCATGCTGTATCCTAGCACTCTGGAGGTGGAGGGCGGGCAAATCGCTTGAGGCGCCCCAGAGAGTTTGAGAACGCCAGTCTGAGCTAGACGCGACGACCTGTCTCTACTGCCCAAGCAAAAAATAGAACAGAAACTTCAATTCGACAACTAAAAGTATATACCTCACGACCAAAAAAAAACAACAATTACTGGGCATCGGTGGCGCATGCTGTAGTCCCAAGCTACTCAAGGAGGCTGCAGGGGCAGTAGGACTCTCTTGGCAGGAGTCTTGAGTTGCTGTGCGCTAGCTGACGCGAACGCGCACTGCACACTCTACCGCCTGGGCAACAAAGTGAGACTCTGTCTCAAAAAAAAAGTTACACTAAATTGAGTGACAATGAAAATATGCCAAAATTTGTGAGACACAGCTAAAGCAGTGCTGAGAAGAAAATTTGTTGCACTAAATGCACACATTAGAAAAGTAGAAAAGTCTCAAATGAATAATCTAAGCTGCCACCTCAAGAACCTAAAAAAATAAGTAAATATGAAGCAAACAGAGGGAGGAAATAATAAAGATAAGAGCAGGAATCCATGAAACTGTTAACAGAAAAAGAAACAAACAGAAAACTGAAAAGAGAAAGAGAAAACCAATGAAACAAGGAGCTAATTGTTTGAAAATAATCAATAAATTTCTAGCAAGACTGACAATTTTCAAAGAGAGAAGAAACATATTAGGAATGAAATAAGAGATATCACTACAGACTCTGTAGACACCAAAAAGATAACAGGGAAATACCATGGGAAATACAATAGGGAAATATCTTTGGAGGCTGAATAACAGCCTAATCCCTAGAACCTTGAAATATATTACCTTATTTGGAAAAAGAGTGTTTGCAGATGTGATTAAGTAATCCTTGAGATGAGGAGATTATTTTGGTAGGCCCTAAGTACAATCAGAATCTTGAAAAGGCAAGAAATGGATTATTCCTTGGAGCCTCTGGAGGGTACATGGTCCTGCCAACACCTTGATTTTTGTCCATTGATACTGACTTTAAACTTCTGGCCTCCAGAACTATGAGAGAATACATTTCTGCTGTTTTAAGCCATTAAGTTGTGTTAATTTGTTACAGCAGCCACAGGAAACTAATATCCTATAAACAACTATTCACACATAAATTTGGCAACTTAAATGAAATGGACCAATTCCCCCCAAAAAAATGCAAACCACCACAACTCATCCAATACGAAATAGATAATTTGAATAGCCCTACAGCAATTAAGAAATTGAATTTGTAATGAAAACCATCCTTTCTCCCCCCAGTATTCCCAGGTCCAGATGGTTTCACTGGAGAATTCTACCAAACATTCAAAGAAAAATTAAATTCTATGCAAGCTCTTCCAGACAACAGAAGAAAGAGATTAATTTCCAGTTAATTTTATAAAGTTAATATTACCCTGATTCCAAAACCAGATGAAGACAGTACAAAAAAAAAGAAAATTACAGACCCATATTCCTCATGAATATAGATACAAAAATCCTCAACAAAATATTAGCAAATGGAATTTAGCAACATATAAAAAGAATTATACACCATGACCAAGTGAGGTTTATTTCAGGGTTGCAAAGCTGATTCAATATTCACAAATCAATCAATGTAATCTACCATATTAACAGATTAAAGAGGAAAAACCATATGATCATATTAATTGGTGCAGAAAAAGCATTCATTAAAATTCAAAACCCATTTAATAACATTTAAAAAACATTTCAGAAAAATAAGAGATATCCTCACAGCCTCAACTTGATAAAGAGCACCTACAGCTGGGCGTGGTGGCTCACGCCTGTAATCCTAGCACTCTGGGAGGCCGAGGCGGGCGGATTGCTCGAGGTCAGGAGTTCGAAACCAGCCCAAGCAAGACCCTGTCTCTACTAAAAATAGAAAGAAATTAATTGACCAACTAAAAAATATATATGCAAAAAATTAGCCGGGCATGGTGGTGAATGCCTGTAGTCCCAGCTACTTGGGAGGCTGAGGCAGGAGGATCACTTGAGCCAGGAGATTCAGGTTGCTGTGAGCTAGGCTGACGCCACGGCACTCACTCTAGCCTGGGCAACAAAGTGAGACTCTGTCTCAAAAAAAAAAAAGAGCACCTACAAAAAAACCCACTAACATTCTACTTAGTGGCATAAGACTAAATACTTTGCCCATAACATTGAGAACAAAGCGCCACTTTTATTTAACATAGTGTTGTTAGCTCTAGCCAGTGCATAAGATAAGGAAATAAAAAGCAAATGGATTGGAAATGAAGAGGCAAAACTGCCCCTATTTGCAGATGACATGATTACCTATATAGAAAATCTCAGGGAATCTAAAAAAACAAAACCCTGGTAGAAATAATAAATGAGTTCAATAAGGTCACATGATACAAAGATAAACATACAAAACTCAATTATATGTCTATATACTAGCAATGAACACATGGACATCAGAATTTACAATATATCATTTATAGTTACTAGAAAATATTTACATGTAAATTTAATAAAACATAAACAGGACTTGTATACTGAAAACTCTACAGCATTGATGAAAGAATAAAATAAAATTTAAATAAATGGAGAGACATACTATCTTCATGGATTAGAAGACTCCACATAGTAAAGATGTCAAGTCTCCCCAGATTAATATACATTTTTAATACAATTCCTATTACAGTTCCAGAAAGATTTTTTACAATTATAGATAAGATTATTCTAAAATTTATATGTATAGGCAAAGGAACTAGAATAGCTAAACAATTTTGAAAAAGAACAATAAAATGGGAGGAATTATTATGCCCCATTTCAAGACATATGTAACGACAGTAATCATGACTATGCAATATTCATGAAGGAACAGACATGTTGATCAATAAAATACAGAATCCAGAAACAGATCTACACAAATATGTCTATTTGATTTTTGACAAAGATGCAAAAGCAATTCTTTGGAGGAATTCAGTAAATGTTGCTGGAGCAAGAAGACATTCATAGGCAAAAAAGTTAACCTCTATGTACACCTGGCCTTTGCTCTTTCTTTTAACTGCTACTTATGTTTCTTAGTGTGTATGTATCATTATTTATTTAACAGCAACTTTTTCTGTTAAATGTTTTCTCATAAAAATAATAAATATATAGGCTGGGTGTGGTGGCTCACACCAGAAATCCTAGCACTTTGGGAGGCCGAGGCAGGAGGATCGCTCAAGGTCAGGAGCTCAAGACCAATCTGAACAAGAGCGAGACTCTGTCTCTACTAAAAATAGAAAGAAATGAGCTAGGCTGATGCCAGGGCACTCTAGCCTGGGCAACAGAGTGAGACTCTGTCTAAAAAAAGAAGAAGAAAAGAAAAGAAAAGAAAAAGTATATATACAAATATATAAAGTAAAATTCTTTATTCCTTATCCCCTTATCCCACCCCCAAAAAACAGAAGGATGGGCAGGTGGGCAAGTAACCCATGCCTAGCCAATCATAGTACTCCACCTGCCTGAAAGGAAAGATGGTCTTTTTATCTAAGATTGTGACAATAAGGACGACATAAGTCTGGAGCTGTTTGAAGCCACAAGAAAAGAGAACTGAGAATGAAAGGAGGGAGAGAAGGTGAGGAGAGGGATGGAAGGACATAGAACAATTAAGAACAAGCTAATGACATCTTTGAACTCCTGAATGAATACAGTAGTACTTGAAGCTCTCTGGCATCTCAGTTATAGCAGAAAATTAAGTCTATCCTTATTTTCCTTAACCTGGTTGGAGTTACAACTCAGTACCTTGCCTAATATATAATACTATATATCACATATATAATACAATCAAATATATGCACATATAGAAGAATATATTCTGTTCTGTATATCTATCCAACCTATCCAATTTTAATAGGATATTAAAATTGAAATTTCCAGTAAGCATCACATTGATTGTAAAATAATGGGATATGCAAAGCCACTATGTGCAAATTTTCAAAAGAGATGGCCTTAAGAATCTGTTACATGACACTTGAACCTCCTTACTTCACTTTGAGAATGTAAATGGGTCCAGAGCATGCAGGGGAGGGACTTTGTGAGGAAGTTTTCTTTGGAAAGAGCTATTCCTGTGCTGTAGGCACCCCTCGCAATGCTGGGGCCACACCAAACTCCCTGGCAGAAAATCTCAGGCAGAGACATCTTTTGTAAGTCTGGGAGGAAGCGTGTTGTAGGCCAGGAAACCAGAAGGTGGATTGGTGTGGACCCTGCCCAAGTCACAAGGACTCTCTTTTAACTGCTTTCCTTACCTGTGGTGGCAGCCATTTTGAACGGCAGGCCCCTGTTCCTCCTGCTCCAGTTGAATTAACTGGAACAGGATTCTTTCTTCTAAAATTAAAATAGAGACCAAAAAAAAAACCAAAAAAAACCAACCTCTCTGTTTGGATGGCTGAATCTGGAATGTCACTTTCCTCCATTCAGATTGGGGCAGGCAATAGGAGCTGGTCTGTAAAGAAGGAAAAATGCATCTGACCTAAAGAAAAAAGAAGCAGAGATGAGAAGTGGAGAGAAAATACTGCCCAGGTTCCACATGGCTGCTCAGTTCCTGGTTGCAACTTGTCCTGAGTGAGAAGACCTGGGTTGGGTGCATTCTCTGCTCAGGTGGTGAGGGGCCCCTCACTTTGTCTCCCAGACTCCTTACCTAACAGCCAAGGGCCATCTAAAAGAAGGGCAAAACCGGGCCTTCCAAAGTGTGGGGTTGTCTTGTCTGGGTCTAAGATCAACACTGTAGATGACTTTTGAAATTTAGAATTGTTCGGGTTTCAGAAAGATAATATGCTACATACACTGCATATTATTAATTCCCCCAGTGGGGTCTGGGGAGAGCTTAATCAAATATATCAGCACTTTTGCAATGAAAATAGATTAATATTCATTCTAAGTGGGTTAAATAAAGACTATAAATAGCCTTTATAGATGCCTCTATAAATTCCTCATGTCATGTCAAGTCAGATTTTGCCAACACATGAGGTTGTGGGTTGAATTCTGTCTCCCTCCCTCCGAAGACATGTTGAAGTCCTAACCCCCAGTTCCTCAGAATGTGACCCTATTTAGAAATAGGGTCACCGAAGATGTAATTAGTTAAAATGAAGTCATACTGGAGTAGGGTGGGCTTTAATCCAATATGACTGATGTCCTTTTAAGAAGAGGGAAATGTGGACACAGAGACAGATACACAGGGTGAGCACCACGGGAAGACACAGAGACACACAGACACAGGGAGATGGAGGCAGAGTTTGGAGTTGTGCTGTCCAAGTCAAGGAATGCCTGCCTATCAGAAACTAGAAGTTTTGGAAGGAGCATGGTCCTACCAACACCTTGATTTCAGACTTCTAGCTTCCAGAACTGTATGAGAATAAATTTCTGTTGTTTTAAGTCACCCACTTTGTTACTTCAGCCCTAGGAAACGAATACAGGGTGTTGTAGGCATAGGCAAAGGCAGAGAGGTGAGACACAACAACACGGTGTGCTCAAGGAAACTAGGAGCAGCTCTGTATTTATGAAGCATCACGTTTAAGGCAGGGCATAGCCTGTGATGAATCTGGAAATAAGAAAAAAAAAACCCACTCATCTCATTGATGATATGTATTTTTTTAAATAGGAATAAAAAATGCAAATAAAAAATAGTCACCAAAATAACAATTATCTCATGGTGGTAAAATTTCAGGCAACGTTTACATTTTTAAAATTCTTTTCCTTATTAATTACTATTTTAAATGATCATGTGTTTTTAATATAATGAGAAAATAATCTATTTCATTCAGGAAAACAAAGGCAGACCCCTGCCAGCAGTGGGACAGTGGAGCAGAGAGACCAGTTAAGGAACTACCGCTGTGTTCCAGACCTAGGAGGAGGGTCTGAGCTCAGAAAGTGATAGTAGGAATGGACAAGGGAAATATTTAGAAGGTAGAATTAGAGATACTTGGTGATTAATTAGAGGTATTGGGTTGGTGATAGAGGGAAGATTCTAGAATGGTTCTCAGGTCTGTAATTGGAGTGACTTGGTAGATGACAGCCCATTCATTGAGGTTAGGAGAACAGGAGGAGATTCAGGTTTTTAGGGGTATCTGTGGGGGTATCTGAGTAGAATTGTCCTCAGCTGGTAACTCTAAGTTCTGGTCTGTCCTGCTGTCCACCCCAGACTTCCTCTGGTAAATTCTCCTTCCCCACTTCCTCTCTGTGATTCCAGTGGTTGTTGCCCTGTTCATATGACTCCACCTCCCCAGCTACAGGTGATGGGTCAAGGATGGATGCTTGATCCATAGTTGTTTTGTTTTGTTTAAGTTTAGTCTGAAGAATAGTAAAGAACACAGGACTGGCAACATAAATCTGGGACTCACTCCGTGTGGGTAGCAATTAGATTCACCAATGGGTGAGACTTTCCAATGAGAGAGTGTAGGGGGAGAAAAATATAAGTCTGAGGATGCAGCCTATCAAGGGCTAAGGAGAGGGCAACAGAAGAATTTATAACCAAGATAAATGTTCAGAGAAGCTGGAGGAAGACCAGGAGGGAATATCGCCCCCATTTAGAGTTGAGGAAACTGGAGCTGAGAGGCTAAGTGAAGAAGTTAGCTCCTCCCAGACTCAAATCCAGGTTTTCGCTCTTTGCACCACAACACAGCCCAAAAAAGCCCCATAGATTTTGATTGTACTGTGCTGGGTTTTTTCTTTAAATAGACTTCTAGGGAGAGAGTCGGTATAGACAACCTGGTTTTTTTTTTTTGTTTATTTTGTTTTTTTGGCAATTTATTTTTATTTTTTTTATTTTAGCATATTATGGGGGTACAAGTATTAAGTTATATATATTGCCCATGCCCCCCACCCTCCTCGAGTAAGAGCTTCAAGCATGTCCATCCCCCAAACATTGCACATCTTACTCATTGTGGTTGTATATACCCATCTCCTCCTCCCCCCTCCCAAACTCCCAACACCCGATAAATGTTACTCCTATATGTCCACTTAGGTGTTGATCCGTTAATACCAATTTGTGATGAGTACATGTGGTGCTTGTTTTTCCATTCTTGAGATACTTCACTTAGTAGAATGGGTTCCAGCTGTATCCAGGAGTATACAAGAGGTGCTATATCACCATTGTTTCTTTTCTTTTTTTTTTTTTTTTTTTGAGACAGAGTCTCACTTTTGTTGCCCTGGCTAGAGTGAGTGCCGTGGCGTCAGCCTAGCTCACAGCAACCTCAAACTCCTGGGCTCAAGCAATCCTCCTGTCTCAGCCTCCCAAGTAGCTGGGACTACAGGCATGTACCACCATGCCTGGCTAATTTTTTGTATATATATTTTTAGTTGGTCAATTAATTTCTTTCTATTTTTAGTAGAGACGGGGTCTCGCTCAGGATGGTTTCGAACTCCCAACCTCGAGCAATCTGCCCGCCTCGGCCTCCCAGAGTGCTAGGATTACAGGCGTGAGCCACCGCGCCCGGCCTTAAGGTTACTTATATTGCCCATGCCCCCCACCCTCCTCAAGTAAGAGCTTCAAGCATGTCCATCCCCCAAACATTGCACATCTTACTCATTGTGGTTGTATATACCCATCTCCTCCTCCCCCCTCCCAAACTCCCAACACCCGATAAATGTTACTCCTATGTGTCCACTTATGTGCTGCTCAGTTAATACCAATTTGCTGGTGAGTATATGTGGTGCTCGTTTTTCCGTTCTTGGGAAACGACAACCTGTTTTTATTTTCCAGTTTCCCTCTCTGAGACTATGCCTGGTTTTGAACCGAAACCCACCTTTACTCTGCCCTGCTGTGGGTCAATATTCACACATCTGTCTAGGATTTGGTATTTTAGGCCTGTGGGCCTGATCAGCGACAAGAGCATCAAGGTCCTCAAAAATGCTTTAGACAAGAGCAAATAGATTATTAAAGCACAGTCAAGACGGCGATGAAGCTGAGCCACCTGCCCACAGCATTTTCTCAGAGACTTCAGTTTTATCTCATTTGTCATTTCCCCACATCTTATTCTCAATGTCATATCTCAAAAGATGAGTCATTACTCAATTTATTTGTTTACTAAATTTATTTTGTGAACATACTGATAAAAAGACTGTTATTGGATCCCCGATTTAGGGGTTGGTAGGCGTTTAGGAGATCCAATACAACCCTTTAATTAAACTTGACAGTGGCCATTAGAACTAGTAATTAGTGTCACTTGTGTGATAATTGAATGGTTGGTATTAAAAATGGCTCTGCATTAGGGTACATCTTAGAATGGATGTAGGAGGTGTACAAATTTATATACTTCTTCATATTTATTGTGCATCTACTATGCGTCAGGAATTAGTGAGTGACAGTGAGCAATGAGCAAGACAGATGAGGTCCTTGCCCTTCTGGAGCTTGTATTCTAGTGGGCTGGTTTTGTTTCACAGGATGTTTCTATCATTTTTTATCAAAAATGCCTTTCCCTGTTTCCCCCCTCAGTAAGCAAGTACAGCCACCAGGATCAAAGCCAAATTGCCAGAAGAGAATAATAATATAATTTTCACATTTAAATTATCACTACAACCGGGCATGGTGGCTGACGCCCAGTGGCGTCATGCCACTGTGGTTTGACGTAAGCCCAGTGGTTTAGGAGGCTGAGGCAGAAGGATTGCTTGAGGCCAGGAGTTCAAGACTAGCCTGGGCAACATAGCAAGATCCTGTCTCAAAAAAAAAAAAAAAAAACTTTAAAATTATCCCGTAGTCCCAGCTACCCAGTAGCCTGAGGCAGGAAGATTGCTCGAACCCAGGAACTAGAGGCTGCAGTGAGCTATGACTGGGCTCCCATACTTCAGCCTGGATGACACAGTGAGATCCTATCTCAAAAAAAAAAAAAAAAAAAATCCCTACAAAGTAGGGTAGCATGGTGGAAAGGCAGGCTCTGCTACCTTCTGCTGCCGTTCATCTCTCAGAGCACAGTTTCCTCAACTTAAGTCTCGAGAAGATAACACGCATAGTTTATAGGCATAGACATCGTTGGCACGTGGTATAACAGCCATTCCTATAGCCGTTAGCTCATTTTTGAAGACTAGAAATTTGACACAAAGAAGTAAAATGACTTGCGTAAGATCACACAGCTGGTAATCGGCAGAGTAGGAATTCAACATCTTCTGACTCCAGGCCACATCCTCTTTCCAGTTTGGCGCTGTCTAGTATGAGGCCAGGAAGTAATGTCCACCGGCCCAGCGATACATGCTTACGGAGGGTGCCGGCCTGGTGACCAGGTAAGACAAGGAGTCTTTGTAGGCAAGAATCTTATGAATGGCCAGGGAATGAGTGCAGACGCTCGGTAGTAGGAGAAAGACGCAGGCAGAGGAACCCGAGCGGCGTCCGGGCTGCCTGTTCACCTGCGGCCAAACACTGACCCCTGCCGGCCGCCCGCGGGAAGGCGGCGCCCGCCCGGCTCCGGGAGCGCGGGGGCGGCGGGCGGCTGCACCCGGCGGGCGGGCGCTCACCGCACAGACAGGCGCGACCCTCTCCTGGAACCTCGCGACCTCGGTGCCCACCTGGGGCCACCCAGGGTGACGTCGCATCGCCCCCCTCGCTCACTCAGCTTTTGACCAGAAGGGGGCCGGAGCTGAGGGTTTTCCCTGCCATGGATCCCCCACTCCCAGCACATCCTGGGCCTCCCCTTGCCCCTCCCCCCCCACCTTGTTTTGGGGACTCGCGCCTGCCGGTCCCGCCCCGCCTATGGTGCGGCCACCTGGCGCTGCCGGAGGGCGCCGCTAGGACTGAATCCGAGCCTCGCGTGGGGCAGATGCACCAACTCAAGATCAGACACCACTTGCTCCGGCTGAGGAGACACTCTGGCAGCTGCCACTAAATGCAGCTGCTCCTTCTTCCCCCTCCTGACGTCTGCTCCAGATCCGGGTCCAGAGGGGTTAACCCTGCAGAGCAAGCGCACTAAGGCCTCTTACCCTCTCCTTCCCCTCTCCCCACTTTGCTTAGCTAGAACTGCTCAAGAAGGAGCCCAAAGCTAGTGGCCTCGGCTTGGAACCCGTGTGGCTCGGCACCTCCATTTGCTCTCTGCAAAATAAAATGAGCCAAACGCTCTGAGAATCCAAGGAAATGGAGCATTTCTTACTAGGACCTCGTGCGTTTATTAATATCCGATAAACTTCTGGAAGAGAACAAGCTGGAGACAGGGCATAAGAACAGAATAAGCTCAAAATCAATTTGAAGGGAAGTGAGTGTGTGTGTGTGTGTGTGTGTAAGGGGGTCTCTAGCGTCCAGTGCAGGGCTCAGCATTTTGTTCTATGGCTTGGATAAAAACAAAGACAGGCTTGTTAGCAATTCAAATATATTGATTTGGGAGGCAAGATTTTAAAAGATATCAATAATCTTTAGAAATTAACAAGATGTTTTCAAAACTAAGGATTGATGTCAGGTCCTTTATCTTATTCTCCCCAAATCAAGACTATCCGATGGGAATGAAAGAGATCTGACTCAGCCAAGTTTCCTGTGAAAAGGGCAGGAGGGAGCAGGAGTTGGCTGGGCTGCCCTTGTGTTCAGGGAGAGAAGTCGGCAGCCAGCCCCCTGCAGAGTGAAGGTAGTTGAGGCTGACCAGAGCAGGCAATGCCCACATTTACAACATATAAAGAACTTTCCAGAGCATCCTTAGATCGTCCTTAGAACTCCAGTCTGACTCTTTTTTGAGGTGGGCCTGGCTGCAAGTGCTACTCTCATTTCAGATAAGGAACTTGGGACTGGAAGCTCTGAAAGGTAAACAAGTTAGCTTGATGGAAAGATGGATCACAATTCAGGTTTTCCCAACCTAGTATATAAATATTTATGACTTCTTTCTTTTTCTTTCTAATATTTTTTACTCTATTTTGTGTGTGTGTGTGTGTGTGTGAGAGAGAGAGAGAGAGAGAGAGAGAGAGAGAGAGAGAGAGAGAGAGAGTCTTGCTCTGTAGCCCTGGATAGAGTGCAGTGGCACCATCATAGCTCACAGCAACCTCAAACTCCTGGGCTCCCGTGATCCTCCTGCCTCAGCCTCCCGAGTAGCTGGGACCACAGGCACACACCACCATGCCCAGCTAATTTTTCTATTTTTTGTAGAGACGGGGTCTCTCTCTTGCTCAGGCTGGTCTTGAACTCCTGACCTCAAGCAATCCTCCTGCCTCGGCCTCCCAGAGTACTAGGATTACAGGTGTGAGCCACCATGCCCAGCCTATTTATGCCTTCTTAATAAAGTGGTACCTGCAGGCGGAGAGGAGAGGTGGCTTTGCTCTACACAACCTTGGCACTCTTGAGCACTGCATTTGAACAAGGACACCAGCAAACTGTCTTATCATCATCATCAGTCAAGTCTCAACTCAAATGTCCCTACAGAGAGGGCTTCCCTAACCTCTCTAGTATTGGCCCCACCCCAAGTGATATTTTTTCACGTTTATAGCATTACTATCTGAAAATGCCTTGTTTTATTTATGTGTGAACGTGTTTATTGTCTGTCTCCCTATGAGACTGCAAATTCTATAACAGTAGAGGCCTTGTCTTGTTTCCATCCATGCCCCCAGGGCCTAGAACGGGGCCTAGCACATACAAGGTGCACCGTCAAAATATTTGAATGAACGAACAAACTAGAACAGTGATTCTCAAAGTCTGGTCCACAGCCTCCTTGGGAGTTCTAGAATCTTCCTGGGGGTCTGTGGGGAGTCAAACACTAAGACATAATTTGTCCTTTTCACTGCATGGACATTCACATCATCTGCAATGATGGCTCAAAAGCAATGGTGGGTAAAACTGTTTTGGCACCAAACTGTACCAGTAGTCTTTCTTCACCACCTCGCACTGACAGTAAAAACAGATAAAACAAAAGCCACTTTCCCTTAAGGATGGCCTTGATAAAGCAATATAAATGGTTAATTTTATCAAATCTCAACCTGGAATACATGAAATAAGTACACATAAGGTATTTCTGCTGTCTACCAAAGGACAATGGTTGTCTTGAGGAAAAGCGTTGTGTAATTGTCTCAGTTGCAAGCTAAACTAGCTGCTTTTTCATGGAATACCATTTTAACTTGAAAGAATGACTGACAGAAAAAAAAACCTATGCTAAATCAGACTTGGGGATTTGGCAGACAGTTTTTGGAAAATGAATAAAATGAGCCTTCCCCTTCAAGGGAAACAACTGGCAGCACTCCTTGCCAAAGACGAAATTCAAGTTTTAATGTGAATGTTGGAATTTTGGAAAAGTTCTATCTGTCACCAAGAGCTTGACAGCTTCTCCAAATCTGCAGATACATCTAATGACCTTGATGGTGATATTAATGGATGTGATATTTTGATATTAAATCATAAAATGTATCAATGTTTAGAAGAGCAATGAAATAAATATTTTTCCCACATGACCAATGCACAGTGTTCCAAAGTTATTCATGGATAAAAGATCCATTTCAAGTATGTGATAGACCAATGGACTTTAATGTAACAGAGAATGAAAAGTTCATTGATACGGTTTCAGGTTCCACATTGCAATTAACTTTTAAGAAATTGCCACTTGTCCAGTTTTGGTGTGTTATCGAAGAAAAATATCCGCAAGTATTTGAAAAGGCTATTAAAATACTTCTCCCTTTTCCAACTATATATCTGTGTGAGGTCAGATGTTTTTCATATATTTTAAACAAAACATGTCTCAACAGATTGAATGTAGGTATGAAGTAGATATGAGAATCTGTCTTTCTTCTATTAGCCAGACATTAAAGAGATTTGCAAAATTGCAAAATAATATCACTCTTCTCACTATTTATTTGTTTTGGAAAATATAGTTATTTTTCATAAACTGTTACTTATATTTATATGTACAGCATATGGTTTATTGATCCTATTTTAAGTGAATTAATAAGTATTTTCAAAATTTCTCAGTTTTAATTTCTGATATGGTAAATGTCAATGGATGTTGAACATAAGCGCATAAAAACAAAAACAAAACACATAAACAAAAGCCCTTTGAGTTTCTCAATATCTTTTAAGTGTATAAAGGGATTTTGATATCAAAATGTTTCAGAATTCCTGAGCTAGGGATAAAGAAAATATCAACTCTTTTTCCCCTTTTATAATTCACATACCACAAAATTCACCATTTTAAAGTGTACGATTCAGTGGTTTTTAGTATATTAACAAAGTTGTTCAAATATCACCACTATCTAATTCCAGAATGCTTTCATCATCCAAAAAGAAACCTGTACCTATTAGCAGTCACTCCCCATTGCCCCTCCCCTGAGCCTCTGACAACCACAAACTTCAATGAATCTGCCTAGCCAGACATTTAATATGAATGTAATCATACAATATATGGCCTTTTATGAGTAGCTTCTCTCACTTAGCATAATGTTTTCAAGGTTCATCCACGCTGTAGCATATATTAGTGCTTCACCCCTTTTTGTGGTAGAATAGTATTCTAGTGCATGAATATACCACATTTTGTGTATCCACTCATCAATTGATAGACACTTGGATGATTCTTACTGTTTACCTGAAATGAATAATGTTGCTATGAACATCCACGTATAAGTTTTTTTTTGTTTTTTTTGGTTTTTTTCACAGGATACTTAGATGGCATACGTATAAGTTTTTACATAAATATATGCTTTCAATTCTCTTGGGTATATATCTAGAAGTAGAATTGCTAGGTTTTACTATAACTTTATGTTGAAATCTCTGAGGATCTGCCTAACTGTTTTCCACAGTGGCTGCACCTTTTTATATTCCCAGTAGCAATTTATGAGGGTTCCAATGTCTCCACATCCCTGATGACACTTCTTACTGTCTTTCTGATTGTAGTCGTGCTAGCGGATGTGAAGTGGTATCTCATCATGGTTTGGATTTGTGCTTCTGTAATGACTAATGATGTTGAGCACACTTTCATGTGCTTGTTGCCACTTGTGTATCTTATTTGGAGAAATGTCTATTCCAAACATTTACTCCAGTTTAAATTTACTCCAGTTGGGTTATTTGTCTTTTTATTATTGAGTTATAAGAGCTCTTATATCTTCTGGATACAAGATCTTTGCCAGATTTATGATTTGAAAATATTTTTCTCCCATTCTATGGTTTATCTTTTAACTTTCTTGACAATGCCTTAACACATAAGTTTTTAATTTTGATGAAGTCTAATTTATCTATTTTTATTCATTTTTTTGGTGTGTGTGTGCTTTTGGTGTCATATCTACAACACCATTGCCTCATCCAAGTTCATGAAGATTTATTTACACCCAGGTTTTCTTCTAGGAGTTTTATAATTTTAGTTATAGTTTATAGCTTTACATTTGATTTTAAATTCATTTAGAGCTTATTTTTGTAGACGATAAAAGGTAAGGGTCCAAATTCATTCTTTTGCATATTGAAAAAATATTATTTCCCCATTGAATGGTCTTGACACCTTGACCATAGATATAAGGGGTTTTTTC